TGTATAGTGAGTGAACGCCGCTTTGAACTATGTGAGTCTTGTCCTTAACTAATTAACCGTATGCCGTCTCATCAAAGCGCACGGCGAGACAGCGTTGGGATTCCGGTTTAGAACTGGGTGCCCTTGTACAAAGCTATCTTAGCGCTAAGGTGATCGTACCTTAACATACACTTACGACAGTCGTAGCGCTTAGGTTGTTTTGTACAACGGCACCCTGGTCTCTCGCAAGCCATGCTTGTCTTAAGAAGCGACCAAACGGATCGAGTGGTCAGGCTCGAGGTCTTGGTTGATTGCTGGACATCGTACACAGACCGCGCGGATCGTTGTCCACTGTTTCCAATCACTGATTTGTCTGGTCCAGAGTATTTACGGGCCGCAAGTGATATAGCTAGAATATTGCTAGAGTGCGGCGTTAAAAGTTAATGGAAAAAATGGTGCTATCACGTCAAGGATCATCCTGACGACGGTGTTGTTGCATAGCACGAAGGACCATTATTCGGGAAGCTGGCAGATTCTTGGACCCCAGTGCCTGTTAAAAAAATACAATAACTTTCCACATATGTGCAACGCATCCGACCTGATTGTCTATCTAACACACCAGCTTGTATCACTTTTGGTGTTAATTTCTCCCCAAGGATCTACTTAAGCTATCTGGAACGACCTGTCGTGACCCATTAAAGCCATTCAGTGTTCACTGAACCCGTGAATGACTTGAACCTAACTCCTGGGCCCCATTCCACAAAGCGATCATTGCATATGTCTAGAGTACGAACGGACGTTACGATCACCTTAGCGCTACGATCGCTTTGTGGAACGGGGCCCTGATCTCTACTTGTGTAAATTGAGCTCTAGTTTCTAGGCTGTTATAGCTGTCAGTGTGATGTTTTGTACGGTGGCCCATAAGGGACATGGAGTCTGTTACTTTTATCGTAACCTTTTGCAAATTAACACAATTTGTCATACAAATATGTGATAAATCATGTATAAAAACAACCGAAAACAGGGAAAATGTACTTTCAAGTAGCTATTGAGTCGCTGAAATTTGAAGCGAAAATGTCAAAAACTAAAATGGAAATGTCAAAAACAAAAACTAAAATGTCAAAAACTAAAATGAAAATGTCAAAAACAAAAACGAAAATGTCAAAAACTAAAATGAAACCACAGAAAACTATTTCCACCGCGGTGGAAATATTTTCACCGCGGAGGGAACATTATCAACGCGGTGGAAATAGTTTTCTGTATTTTCATTTTAGTTTTTGACATTTTCGCTTTTGTTTTTGACATTTTCATTTTAGTTTTTGACATTCTCGTTTCACTTTTCAGCGATTTAATATCTTCTTTACACATGATTTATCACATATTTGTAAGACAAATCGTGTTAATTTGCAAAAGGTTACGATAAAAGTAAGTGAAATATCAAAATATGGAAAAACAGACTCCATGTCCCTTCTGGGCCACCGTAGTTTTGCACATTGAAAGAACAAAAAAACCCAATAAAAGCGGAGTAAGTACATCTTGATACCGGTTTTTTATTTCCAACGTCCATCTTTTTTACATATAACAACTATAGACACAACTATTGTATTGCCATTAGTCACATGACACATGTGAACAAGGAAGATATATCGACTGAGGGATTTGTTTTCCCCTTAAACACACCTGTCATTCTGCCAGTACAAGGGGTCTTTAACACATGTTAAGAAATATGCGTGAAGTTTTGAAATAACAACTTCAGGTATGTTTTGAGGAAAAACACTCCACAAATGTATCTCCTGTATCTCTGATACGACTTATTATAGGTTTCTTGTTACAATCAACACTTATACCAATTTTATTATTAAAAAGAATATGAATATTGCTTCGTATTTCAACGGCGACTTAATAAAATGACATGTCAATTTCTTGGATGAATGATACGAAAAAAATTATGACAGTACTGACGAATTTTATGACAGAAATGCCATTTAGTTTATCATTTCAAATATCGTCACCTTGATTCACGTATGAACTCCATTCGTCATCAAGAAATGTTTCAGAATGTTATGGTTTGGTTTGATGATAATTTGGGTATTTTACTAGCGCTTCCACTACAGCCGATTTTGCACTCTTGAATTTCTGTTCCTTAGCGTGTGGAAGAACTGAGATGTTCAATCTCACACAGGAACATTAGTATCCTGATACACATAGATATATCTGTGGAATCTCGGTATATCAGCCCTGATATATCTTCCATGATGACACGAATGACGTATGACATATATGTATTGTAATAACAATGATCACATTCCAACTAATGACTATTTTTTTGTAAAACATAGTGACTTTCAATAGTGAACAATATATACAAATAGGACGATATGAGTACATAACATGATACGTATACCCTAGCTATACATGACATACATGACATACATGTTTGTGACATAGTTGACATAATACAGTATTAGTAAATTAATGAATATGCATTATTCACATGGTATTGGGAGTATTGGTTGTGTACATGCATTATTCACATGGTATGTGGGAGTATTGGTTGTGTTTATGCATTATCATATGGTATGTGGGAGTATTGTTGTGTATATGCAATATCACATGGTATGTGGGAGTATTGGTTGTGTATATGCAGTATCATCTGGTATGTGGGAGTATTGTTGTGTATATGCAATATCATATGGTATGTGGGAGTATTGTGTATATACATTATTCACATGACGTGGGAATATTGATGTGTATATGAATAATTCACATGGCATGTGGGAGTATTGGTTGTGTATATGCAGTATCATATGGTATGTGGGAGTATTGTTGTGTATATGCATTATTCACATGGCATGTGGGAGTATTGTTGTGTATATGCATTATTCACATGGCATGTGGGAGTATTGTTGTGTAAATGCAGTATCATATGGCATGTGGGAGTATTGGTTGTGTATATGCATTATTCACATGGCATGGCATGTGGGAGTATTGTTGTGTATACGCATTATTCACATGGCATGTGGGAATATTGTTGTGTATATGCAGTACACACATGGCATGTGGGAGGACATTCAACTCTTCGTCTACATGTAGGTCAGCACATCCGTTGATGGAGAAAAATGGGTTTTCCCAACATTTTTTTTTAACGAATGTGAAGAAGCGATTCTCAAGCCACAAATAGGAACACGGTGTGTAGGACATACAACGTGACCACTAGCCTCAGTTTGACGATCTACTGTTTGAAATAGGTACTACACTTTGGTTAGCACGGTGCACGTGCAATATCGACCCTTCCTCTGCAAAAAAGAATAATTTCCTTCATTAAAACACGAGACGTGCATTCCTTGGTTACCGATTTCGGTATTTTTCGGCAACGGCAGATTGTGGGTCATTAAGTACAACGTCGACAGGCATGGAGTTCACTTGCACCGACTCACTGAAACTGTCACGAACTCCTGACAGCGCCATGTGATCATTGCGGCAGCGATGCCTCCCGGGGGATGTTGAGATAATTATTGGAGGGCGTGAGCGAAATGTTCCCGGAAAGAGGGGATTACATAAAGTAGGATGCCTATGGAGCAAGAAATAATAATAGGATACATTATATGAAGATGTAACGATGCGACAAAATGTCCGAATTTAATTTATTACGGTTCCCCTTGGTATCACTAGTTTTAAATGGTAATATAAGATGTGGAATTGTATAAATATAAAAGCGAACCCGTGGCTGATATATGTCGCAGATTATGCAGTTATGTTGTAACGTAAATCCTTACGTGTAGGGACCGCCTGTAGTCTAGTGGTAGAGTGTCTGCCCTAAGAGCGGAAGGTCCGGGGTTCGATCCCCGGACGCGTCATACCAAAAGACGTTAAAAGATGGCACTTGTTGTTACCCTGTCTGGCGCTCGGCATTAAGGGCTAAAACAAGGACTGGTCGGCTCGGAGTCAGTGTACTGTGTCTGAGTGGGATATTCATGTTAAACTGCGGCATGGTGTCTCAGTGAGCTTGCTCTATCAATCGGCATCAGTCCGGACTTGTACAAGCAGCCACACACACGTGCATGCACGTCGCTAAATAAGTGCAATAATCTTGGACGCGACGTTAAACCCCATTTCACCTCACCGATAGTTAAAAAACATCATTGATAATCAAGTGTACTGAAACAAGTGGGGTATCTTTAAAGAGGAATATGATTATCAGATATGTTTTTACAAATAATTCGATTTTTTTTCAATTATCTTAAGTAGGTGATATTATATCTCAAAACGTAACTGCGTTGGCTCTCAATAAGCACTCAAAAATACTTTTATATGGTTGTTATTTATATTAGCTTTTAAAACTGTTAAAAACCAAAATATTTTTCTACTGATGGGTGTCTTAGACATCTTACTTTGAAAATCAATAAATTTGCTTTTTTTCGGCACAATTTACACCATTTTAAACAAGGCAGGAATAATGTAATAAATTTATGTATGATTATGGAAAGGGTTTGGTCGCTATTTACCCCACTCTGCATTGAACCAATTTATTTTTACACAAAATTATCTAGCCACAGATTAGTGTTTACAAACCGTTGCAGGAATGAGCGATGGTTAAACAGACATAATCAAGTTTTAACAATAATTCTTTTAGTTTTCAATTACGTAAAACAACACCTAAAACCTCTGTCTTCAGTTAATACAATTAAGACATTTATATCTGAAATTAATATGGATAGGACCGATATATACTACTCAAAAGAAGTTAAGGAACACCCGATTGTTTCATATGGCAAGAGTTAATCTGAAGTGTTCTTTAACTTCTTTTAAATAGTACATTGACTAGTGTTTTTTCGCGGTTGAAGACATGGCCTTGTAATTAGACCAGAAATGTCATGTAACTAGAGGCGAATGTATTTCTACACAGGATTTCTCAAGATGACCAGTGCAGAACCATGCGACCACTTTACCACTTCGGTGAAACCCACGAGGACGGGTATGGTGCTGACAAACCTAGAAACATAATCGGGGCGAACCGGGATTCGAACCCATAATCATAGGTTTCTTGCGTGCCCAAGGGACGCAACTCTGCACAGCGAATTGTGGCGCCTTAAACGACTGGGCCACCCATGCCCCCTGGAATGTTTGAGCTCGCAATGGAATATACAAGGGAAGATGGCCCTTCGCGTAGCTTGTTGTCATGTATGATATTTAATTTAATACCTTCCAACAGTATATATGAATATATTTACATGAATATATTAATGAATTCAAACAAGCAATTTCGAAGCAGTGAATTCGACATCAATTTGTGAATAAACGTATTTAAGTGATATGATGCATCATGTGGGTGAAATATCATATGGGAACTGTATGTTGCAAATCCCATTTGTGTATTTGTAGCATATGCGTATGTCTTCCATATCTTGTGTGTGAACAGATCACGTGAGTACATAGGACATATATATGCGTATGTTCATTTGTGACTATACATAACGCATGCGTTTACACATCCCGTCTAAATCTCACTCATGTGCGTCACACGACTCTAACACACCACGTGTGTGACAGATGACACCCATTACACTCACGTGTGACAGATGACACCCATACACCACGTGTGTGACAGATGACACCAGACACCACGTGTGTGACAGATGACACCAGACACCACGTGTGTGACAGATGACACCAGACACCACGTGTGTGACAGATGACACCCATACACCACGTGTGTGACAGATGACACCCATACACCACGTGTGTGACAGATGAAACCCATACACCACGTGTGTGACAGATGACACCCATACACTCACGTGTGACAGATGGCACCAGACACCACGTGTCTGATAGATGACACTCACACACCACGCGTAAACAGACGTTAATTGCACACTAGGGGTGTGAGATTATGCAGAACCGGCTTTTCACCCTGGCATAGAATACTGACATTTAAAATAGACTGACAAGAGAACGAAATGCTATGTACCAGACCCGGGTACTAAAGGGTATATAATAGATTGCAAAAGGGGAAACAACAGATGCTAGTGATGCGTGTGCATGCGTGCGTGCGTGCGCGCGTGCGTATGTGTGTGTGTGTTGTTGGAATACTGAAACAAAGCACACATGCAATTACTAAATAATCATATTATTAATTACGATGTTTACATCTCGATAACTCACACAATGTATCTTTGGTTGCTATGTATATTACCAACAACACACGTATATCTATCACAGTGTTATCAACTATATATACAACACAATACGACCCATGGTCGTGTTACTGGTGATATTTACACTGGACTAGCGCCGTATCTGATGTAGGCACATGCACTGCAACACCAGTCGGAACCCCGTGGACAACAGTCTTCGTGCACACGGTGTCGTTATTGATTAAGAGGTCCTGAGATATTTGGCGGAGCCCTCATACGAACGTTGCCTCCGTGGTTTCCTTGTTCGGCCAAGCCACTTTGCTCTTCTCTCGAATAAACTGAAGCCAGTGGTGTATCATCTCCATGAGGCAACGTCTGAATTGGGTGCTCATGGTACAATACATGACGAAGTTCACGGCACTGTTAATCAGCGCGACAGAGTCTATCAGGTCACTGAGGGGTCCGTATACCTTGATAAAGAATCCATCCACGCAAGCGCTGAGAATAACGAGAATAGCCTGTGGCACCTCCGACAAAATATACATCACGATGACCGCTAGCAGCATCATCGTTGTACGTCTATGGGCCTTGTGTTGCGAACCGTAGTTGCCCCCCTTGAGTCTTCGGCCTCTCTTGTCCGTCTCCCGAAGCGTGTGGAGTAAAAGACCTCCAAATATGGATATCAAGACTATCGGAATCATCTTACCTGCAACAGGGTAAAGCCAGAAGTTCACCAGTGCCATAACATCGGTGTCATTCTTCCCTATAGCTGGGGGATTAAGTCTGTACAGAGAGGCGTTGAACGTTGGGTCGTAGATCTCCTTAATCCCTGTCGTGATGCAGTTGGGAATGATAAGAACCGCAGACCCTATATAGGAGAAAATGATGACAAGGAACGTAGAATGGTTGTCGAGCGTTTTCGACCCTCGGGATGTCGGTCGGACGAAGATGTACCTCAGAATCGCCATGATGACGGCGAGCCAGATGGACACCGTGTGTGTGGTTAGGGTCAGGTTCATGTGGACGGCCATGAAGACGATCCAGCCGTAGGAGTAGCGCTGAGGCGTGACGGTCAGGTCGTTCATCAGGTAGAAGTGGATGGCGAAGGGGATGTATGACAGCATGGTGATCAGATCCGACACCGCTATGCCTGTTAGGATGAGGTTGATCGAGTTCAACATGGACTTCTTGGTCAGGACCATGATGTTGATGATGTTGGTGATGACTCCGTAGATGCAGATGATGAGGCTGAACCAGCCGTGGATGTCCCAGTAGCAGTAGCCGAAGCTCTCTAGCTGGTTGGACTCGTTCCATTGGCACACCATGATGTCCGGTTTACGCTCGGTCTGCAATAGAAGATATGAGTGAGTGAGTGAGTTAATATTTAACCTCACATCGGCAATATTTCAGCCATATCGTGACGATATAGAAAGATATGAATAATCTTATAGAGTACAATGTAATTTGTAATCTCTCTCTTTCTCTCTCTCTTTCTCCCTCTCTCTCCTCTCTTCCTCTCCCTCTCTCTCCCTCTTTCTCTCCCTCTTTCTCTTCCTCTCTTCCCCTATTTATCTCTCTCCCTCTCTCCTCTCTTTCTCTCCCTCTCTCTTCTCTCTCTCCCTCTTTCTCTCTTCCACTTTCTCTCCCTCTTCCTCTTTCTCTCCCTCTCTCCCCTCTCCCCTCTCTCTCTCACTCTCTCACTCGCATCCGAGTCGACAACCCATGTTGCTTGCGGCATGTATACTCAATGATCACGGGAATAAAATAGAATGGCCTGAAACCACTGAATCGGAATGGAAAGAGGAAAAGCAACGTCGTGAACAATTAGAACTACACTGCTCATAGCCAACATCAGATGCAAGCTCAGGAACCCTGGCAGTCTTAATGTAATTGTGCAAGGTATTCAACAAGAACGCACGAACTGATTCCGTCTCTCCCTTAAGGTGTTCACCAAGAAGGCAACACTAACGTTTCGTTAATATATCCAACATGAAAGCATCGCTGATGTCGCTTCCTGAATATATCCAACAGGAACGCACTATGGTGCTCTCGCTTCCTTAATGTTTGAAGAATATAATATAACTAAATAGGAACATAAGCTTCAATATCATGAATATATACAGTCCGTCACTGTAACGACATCTTCTCAGTCCCGGCAACTGTAACCAAGTGAAGCAGGAGCTCTTCTGCTCTGTAAAATCGTGTATCGCCCGTCATGGTGTTTGACTTGCCAAAGTTATTCAGTTGGGGAATATTTAAATGATGCTCATTCTGCCCGAATGAATCAATAACAGGATGGATAAACTCCCCATCTGTTACCTAGTAGCCTTGTTTGTTCTGGGGCAATTATTGTCGCTGTGTGCTATAAAACAAAGTTCATTCAGTCTATTGTACCGGGACGCCAAAGCACATTCATTGTCACAAAGCACGCTGGGTCTATAGTTGGTAATCTGTCATACAGAGTCATGACGAAGGCTAATTAAGACAAGCTACACAACATTACTTGCAGGTCCATAAATGAGAGCTTACATTAGGCCGGAATGATAGAACCATTTTACACCGTGTACAATAAATAACATTGACTGATCGTATGAAAACATTAAACATAGAACAAGGCCATGGTATCGTTTCCCCTTGATTCGGAATAAAGCCGTGATGATCAAAGACTGATTGCGATAACAGCGTTAAACCTGTGCCATTCAGCGCGTGTACGTGACCTGTGTAAGCCAACAACGTTGTTTGACTTGCTAGAAGGTTGTTAATTGTCTTCCGTTATACGAACACCCGTTTGGTGAGGTGAGGCGAGGTGAAATGGGGTTTAATGTCGCGTCCAAGATCATTGCACTTATATAGCGACGTGCATGCATGTGTGTGTGTGTGTGTGTGTGTGTGTGTGTGTGTGTGTGTGTGTGTGTGTGTGTGTGTGTGTGTGTGTGTGTGTGTGTGCTAGCTCACTGAGATACCATGCCGTAGTTTAACATGAATACCCCACCCAGACACAGTATACTGACTCCGAGCCGACCAGTCCTTGTTTTAGCCCCTTAATGCCGAACGCCAGACAGGGTAACAACAAGAACCATCTTTTAACGTCTTTTGGTATGAGGCGGCCGGGGATCGAACCCCGGACCTTCCGCTCTTCGGGCGGACGCTTTACCACTAGACCACGTAGGCGGTCGAACACCCGTTTGGTTTGTCACGGTAGGGAACATAACTGGATGTAAAAATGAACCTAAAATTGTTTAAGTCGATTTCCATGTTTAAAAGCGTATCACATTTGGAATATATAGTCTTCCTAAAGTGAGCGTTGTTTTGCGCCGCAGAACTCGGGCATATCATGGCGGTCTGTAAATCTAGGCTTTGGAAAACCAGTGGTTGATAACATGACCACAAAAACCGTTTGGATACGATGACACACCAATCGATACTTATTCAATTGTCGTCTCTGATTCGACATTGAGGACTTCCCGAATCATAATTGGATGGGCTTTACGTTGATTTCAGCATCGAGCTACTTCGATATGAAACTAGTTTGCGGTAAAATGCAATTTGACAACTATACTAAATCGTCATAAAAAAATAAAAGCTGACACGCCGTGTCTTAAATGAAATACTGTTCAAAGCGGCGTTATACTAAAGTCCCGTAAGCAAAATAGGTACATGTTTGAAATCAAGATGAGAGTGTACTATTGGTTGCCGCTGTCACGTGGTGTCTTGAGAACACCTGGCGTCATCTGGTGACACCACTTCGTTAGTATAGGTTATTGTGCTATTGGTTATGTAGAAGTGATGCGATTATGAACAACCTGAGGCTCTGGTATCAGTAATGGTTGAAGGAATAAGTGCCAGAACCAATGGGTGAATATATCACGGCTCGATCAGGCTGAACTCCCATGAACCACAAGTGAACTTTCACAAGCACGTGGTACGACACCCCACCTCTCCGGGGCATGGTGTAACATGTCCACCTCGTTAAGTACACAAGATAGACGATTTCTCTCAGTGATGTATGAGGCATGCAGTCAACATTCTGAACGATGAAGCCGTCCTCCTCATCTCAAACTATTCAAGTATCTAACGACAATCAGGGAGCTCCCAGACATTTCATAGAGACCCTTAGGTAACTGTTTGTTCGTTATGCGAGTTCCTTTCCGTACCGGGTATGCACAGCCGAGTCATCCAGGCGTTCGCTCATCAATCTGAAGACTCGCCATCGATTCACCAAAATGGGTACAATTAGCATTAGTTTTGGCATTGGTTTTAGCCCCAGTTTACACAATAATTTTAGCAAGCGTTTCAGCATCACTTTCAGTATCAGTTTTAGCATACGTTATAGCATAAGTTTTTGCCTCAGTTTTAGCATAAGTTATAGCATAAGTTTTAGCCTCAGTTTTAGCCTCAGTTTTAGCATAATTTTTAGCCTTTTTAAGCATATGTTTTAACATCCATTTTAGCATTCGTTTTAGCCTCAGTTTTAGCTTCAGTTTTAGCCTCAGTTTTAGCGTACGTTTTGGCATTGGTTTTAGTCTCAGTTTTAGCATAAGTTTTAACATTAGTTTGGGCCTTTTTAGCATATGTTTTAGCATTCATTTTAGCATTCGTTTAGCCTCAGTTTTAGCCTTAGTTTTAGCATAAGTTTTAGCGTACGTTTTGGCATTGGTTTTAGTCTCAGTTTTAGCATAAATTTTAACATTAGTTTTAGCATAAGTTTTAGCATTTGTTTAGGCATAAATGTTAGCAGCAGTTGTGGCATTAGACAAGATTAAGGCATCAATTCCCTATTTTCACTCCTCCCATATATTACCGTGTTTAATGTTCAGGTGAGCTATTGAATTACCTTGCATGTGTTTGTAACGGATGCCACCGGCGGGGCAGGACACGCTCACCTTTTTTGCGAACACATAGGATCATCCCTATTCGTTAGTGATTTATAAACACATGCTTATTATATATTCGGAATCGTACAAAGGGCTGTGATTTTAGCCGAGATTGCTAATAATTATGGACATGATATGGTAGTGTAGTATCCTACATAATAGATTATAAGGACTGGGATAACAGTGTGGTTTGTAGGTTTGTTGTCAACAGAAACAACATATATACAAGTATTGAAGTGAATCAGTATCACAATACTCAGTAGTAGTATTTCAGTTATATCGCGGAATGGGACAAAAAACCGAATGGTTCTTTACATTAAAATACAAAACACACATGAAATATGCATTAAAATGTCGTGGTCGGAAGTTACATCCCTCAGCAGTCGACTGGTCCAGCCGGGACGTTGGGGTAGCCTGGTGGTTAAAGTGTTCGCTCGTCACGCCGGAGACCCGGGTACGATTCCCCACATGGGTACAATGTGTGAAGCCCATTTCTTGTGTCCCCCGCCGTGATATTGCTGGAATATTGCTTAAACAGCGTAATACCGTACTCACTAACTGCTCTAGCTACTAGGGGGGCGGTCGGGTAGCCTGGTGGTTAAAGTGTTCGCTCGTCACGCCGGAGACCCGGGTTCGATTCCCCACATGGGTACAATGTGTGAAGCCCATTTCTTGTGTCCCCCGCCGTGATATTGCTGGAATATTGCTTAAACAGCGTAATACCGTACTCACTAACTGCTCTAGCTACTAGGGGGGCGGTCGGGTAGCCTGGTGGTTAAAGCGTTCGCTCGTCACGCTGAAAAACCGGGTTCGATTCCCGACATGGGTACAATGTGTGAAGCCCATTTCTGGTGTCCCCCGCCGTGATATTGCTGGAATATTGCTAAAACAGCATAACACCTCACTCCCTCACTGCTCTAGCCACGTGGGTGTTTCTACACATATGTAGACGAGCGTGATTGGTTATATCATTTCAGGACACAATACGGCAATATTCACCATTTCCACACATGCCAGAAATCAATATGGCCTCTTTAACTTTTTGAAAGGACGACATCATGGTGCGATTTCATTTCCCCTGCATATCAATTACTTATCATTCACTTTGAGATGAACATATGGACCTACCATAAGAGACACGTGTTCTATACAAGATAGGAACTACGTGTCGGAAATACCCACTGGCGTGAGACCTATATACAAGCAGAATCAATTAATGACACGTTTAAGCATGCAGTCTGTGCATGACCGGAGTTACTTTGAAAAGATAAAATATTTTTGACAGATTGAATCTGACATCAAACAGCTAAATTACTAACAACACATCGGGATGTGCCTCAATGGGTGCAATAAGTGTTTTTGTCTAAGTTTTGTAGCGTTTCAACCGACAGTTATATTCGATTACGAGTATTTGAAAACTGCCATAACCAGCACTTGAGAGCGTTAGATGATGCCTAGGGGACAGATAGCAT